GGCACACATTAAGGACGAGCGATGCCGAAGGGGAGAAGAACATACCGGGCGTCGTGCGTTCCTTTAGCGTCCGGGACGTTTTCCTACTTGGACTTGCCTCGGAGCGCTTGTTGAACTCGTTGATCATGACCTGGACTTCTGAGTTCATTCATATAAATCTTGGGCACCACAACCCACCTCTGCGCCGCCGAACCCGAGGCCCGTCGCCACCACTGACCTTCCATACGGTACGGAGCCTGCAATTAAAAATTAAAAATGGCGTTGACAAGGCTTTTAAGTAAGAGTGAAGACATACCGTGCTCCGAGGGCGACACCCGCGACGCCTGCCTCCGCAGAGTCGGCTCCGAGCGTTTACGTTGCAGGGTCTGTGAACATCCCAGCACAAATTTGCGCAGTCAATTCCTCAAGGAATTCGGAAGACGCGAAACGCGACCCACCGTAGGCCGTCCACCCGCGAGACCGAACCCCACTCGCTCGCATTCTTCCCCCGTCCGGGTCACCGTCCGCTCTCCCCGCGCTTCGCACCGAGTCTGAAATGAAGCAGATATACGATATGTATGTAAGTCGACGGCTCGGGAGAAAAATTCAAGCGTACTACTCACGACATACGTCCCGGGCTTCGGGAGGCGGTCTGTCATGCCAGTGGTGTATCGACTCGGCCTTTCGGAAATTGGCACAGAAGAGGACGAGCGTGGGGAAAGGAAAGAAGGTGCTGCCTAGTTGTCATTTTACTCACGAATTCGAAGACCCGCTTTCCGGAAGTGGGCATGATATTACGTCGGATTTGAACCTTGATTATTGGGTTGATGTATTGTTTGAGGAGAGAGAGCTAGAGCAGAAGAGAGGAATGAGTCCAGTTTTCTGCCGTTAACAGCGTTTTGGGGGATGAACTAGTCACAACGAGGCACGGAGGAAGAGATTTTGAAGAATAAGATGTTCATTTAATTTGTTTGGGTGCCGAGGCATGGAGCTCGAGAGACCAAGTTGCACCATTGCAGAAGGTGTGTTCAGCTTTTCATCCGGCGGTCTCACGCCGCAGGTTCATCGAAAACTGTCTCAGCCGGTGTCGCGAGAAAATCTGTGTCTGTCCAGCAACCGAACTTCGAATTGGAGGGCCTCCGTCTTGCCACCAAGGCGACCGATGGTAACTTGTGGTTCGTCTAGGAATCATAAGAGATTTACTGTAAAGTTGCGTTGAATGAATGTCGTCTGGCAGCATGACTGGATCGAGGAACCCACTACCGACCAAGTGTCGATGTGAACGGTATTTATTCCGGCGGATGGACGCCCGCCTTGATACTTACGCACAGGAAGTATCAACGACTCGACCCACACGAGATCTAGACCATCTGCTCACTTCAAGTTCCCGGGATGGCGGGAGCTTATCAGGTTGTTTCCAACGGACCGAGGCAGCCCTAAATACGGATGGTTTGATTCGATTCGACTTGCATGCATGCATTCGTGGGCGAAAGAAGGAGATCTAATCCAACGAGCGAAGTTCGGAGTTCAATCAGCTTTGAAGTTGGCCTGTAGTTTGAAGCTTGAATTGTGATCATCATAGATAGATGAGAGTGAATCCGTGAACAACTTGATTGCGAGACGCCGAGAGGCGCTGTATCTCGTTATGAGCGCACCGGGGATAGCAGGCAAGTCTGAGCGAAGGGATTGATTGAAGAGGAGAGGAGAGGAGAGGAGAAACCCGGTTCTTGACTGCAGCGCCCAACATTGAGTTTGAACTCGACTCGGATGCCACCAGATGAAATAATTCGATGACACCTACTCCCACCTGCGTTGCGCATATGCCACACCACAAATAAAGACTCCATCCATTACAGGCCTCGCGCGAAAACCAGAGGAATCGCCTTGGTGGTTGTGGTCCAAGTTGTGCTCGAAACTCCGATCCGATCCGGCCGATCGTGCCAGTAGATTTCATTTTTGGCTTTTGACTGTTACCACCCACCTCAACTTTCAAGATCTTTGTATCGCACTACATCCGTTCTTGCCTTCAATCGCTTTCAGATGGCCTGTACAACGAGACTTCTAGGGGCTCTCGCTGCGCTTGCCAAACTCTCACTGCAATAAACCCGCTTTCGATGCTTCTCACTTGCTTGGTGCTCACGCTCCTGCTTATCACCCACTCTTGCTTGGACCTTGCCCAGGGCTGTTCATTTCGAAAATCCTCGTGTCTCGCTGCCAAGTGCAAAATTAAATGAAACCGTTTCACGGCGGATGCCAGCGCCGAAAGGATGACTATGCTTGAATGATGGAGTTGGGTATTATCTCAAGATCCTTGTCTGTGACTTTACCGCGGAGCTCAAGGGTAACGGGCAACGGCGTTCGCCAGCGCTCAACGCACGAACGAGAAGGCTCAACGCACGAACGATAGCCGGACGCATTCCCAGATCAGCACGACAGCTTCTTTCCCTCGACAAAAATACGCGCGACTTCCCATCTAACCGGAAGCCCTATGATCTATCTGAATACATTTTGGACAGTGCGCATCATATCAGGCTGACTGCCTGACGGTCATCTGGTCACTGCTATACTCCTGCTTTGCTCCAAACCCCGACTAGCGAGCGACACTTAGCCTCTTCCAGGCCCTGGCGGTCCTCCTCCACTCTCATTTTATCCCACGTCGGCCACCGGCGCCCATTGAGCCTCCCGTCGTCTTGCACAATGGCGATCCTCAATGTTACGATCGACGACGCTAGTCCGCTGATTAGCTACACCGGCAATTGGTCGCAAAATGTCTCAAAAGAGTAAGTCCGACTCTCCGCTTCAAAATTGAGAGGAACTGACTGGGGTGTGTAGGGCGTATGGCTCCGGCTACAGCTACACCTACGACCAGAATGCTTCCGCGACCGTGCGATTTCAGGGTACGCGGATCATGGTCAATGGGTCGATGTACACTTCAAATGGCCCGTACACCGTCAACTTGGATGGCCAAGATCATCATTTCAACGGCTATTCGTCGAATTTCACCTCGTTCCGGCACTCCATATTCAGTCGCGACGACCTTAGCCCAGGGCTGCACAATCTTACTATTTCGAATGACGGATGGGAGACTCTTGATATTGATTCGGTGCGTTACAGTAGCGTCTCCAACTCCACTTCGAGCTCACCCATTCTTCTCAGATAACATGGTCCTGCGGGCTCGGCGGAGCCAACGACACCGGCTCGACGGTCCTGACCGACCAAGTTGACGACACGGACTCGGCTTTCGCCTACGCTCCTAAGGGGTCTTGGAATCTGCACCCACCGAATATCACGATGTTTAGCGAGCAAACTGGGCAGTGCGTTAGAAACCATCTCAGGCTATCCACCGCTCACATTGATTTACTTCGACAGCTCTACTTCCCGATCGGGCGCCTCCGTGAACTACACATTTTCCGTGCGTATCAGCATACTCTGTCATCGCCTTTTGTGTGACGCAACCTCTAGGGTAAAATCGGGTTCCTCGACCCTCATTTCCAGTGCTCACTAAATGAAAGGCGACGCCGCCGTGACTATATATGGTACGACTGGACCCGGGCATTCGCGGTACAGTGTTCGGAGGCCCGACCAAGCAACGCCGCGACACTTCACTGCTGCCCGTGATATGTTCTCCTCACAAGTGGTGCTGTATTTTGGCGCAGGATTTGGGCCAGGGAACCACACCATAACGCTCACAACCGAAAGTCCTGGACTCTTCCAAATCGACTATGCGGTCGCACATACGGCGCCTTCAACACTGGCTACAAAGTACGCCACCGTCCTCCCTTGTTAAAATTGAGACGAATTGACCCCACGATTTAGTAAGCCCATTCCGTCTCCTGTCATACCCCCAGATCCGAACCTTTCCGCTCATAAACGACTATCGTAAGCCTTCCTTTCATTTCCCCCCTCTTGTATTCTAACCATCTCTCAGGGCTGGGGTCATCGTCACTATCACTTTCGCCGCACTCCTTTTCGTTTTCCTCATTCTTGCCGTTTTGGTGCATTTACTTCTAATTTTGCTTACTCGATCATTCACGTCTCCCAGTTCCTTCTGCAAAGAAACAAAACCCTCTGGTACCGCCTTCAGCGAGGGTACAAGGTGCAATCCCAATACGACGCGGGATCGCCCCCGAATGGTACCATCACCCCGTTGCCATATTCTGCCCCACCGCCGCCTATGCGGTCAAAAGCTGAATACTTTGACGCTAACGACGATTCGTTGGAGGCGCAGCCCTTGGACAGGGCTACCACGATGCAGTCCTATCTCACCGCATCCACACTGGTCGCGGATGCGGGCTCTTTTATGTCACGACATAGACCCTTCTCTTTGAAGGTCAGACTCATCTGCTTTGCAATTCACTCTTCCGCTGACTTCTGCCCGGTTTAGGCGCTACGCCTCTCATCAAGATGGGGAGGATCGAGCCCCGCAACATCTCAAGCTAATTTATCGCAGCAGTCGCCATCGCTACGACCGTTAACGCTATCCGCTCACCACGGATCCCTCTTGCCTTCTCGCCATGACTCTCTTTCACCATCTACTCGACATCTGTCACGCTCGCCGTCTGTCCAACATTTACTCCGCGAGGAATCCCAGTATTACCGGGAGGAATCCCACTATTATGATCCCTATGCGGCCTCAATGTCTGGCCTCGAGGAGGTCCTTGAAGAGCAGGTCGACGACGTTTTGCGACATTCAATACGTCGCAACGAACCTTCTACGCATCAGCAATGGGATGAGATTCTTCCTTGAATTGGGTCTTTTGGCGTATATATCATGGACATTGTTGTATTTGTGTTGCGTACATATATGTGTCATGGAAAAGTTATTCAAGAGGAATAAAAGCATGACGAAAAAATAACCCTTCGTATTGAGCTGGGGTCATTCAGTCAGCAAGGGATGGAGAAAGGTTGCGACATCTGGGTTGTAGGTGTTCGGCTAACCAATCCTCCGACAACATTGTAATGAGTTGGGAAAATGAAGGGCCGACACTTGCGGCGAACAAAAGCTAAGGGAGAGATAGTAGTGGCCATCGTGGGGGTCGAACCCAAGACCTTCGCGTCACAGTTACACAAGCAACTATTAGCACGACGCTCTAACCAACTGAGCTAGACGGCCCTTATCTTGAATCCCTACTTAATATTCATGTCGGGCTTCCAGACGCCATTTGTGCTCCTGTCCGGGTCCACGCCAACAGGCCCCGTGAAGCTCCGCCAAAGGCTTGTCCGGATAAGGATCTATCAAAACCTAACTTTCTTTTGATGAATTGCGCTCTAGTAATGCCCCGAGGTCGAGAGTGGTATCGTTACCGTCGTGCAGATGACCCGTAGCTATCCATACATGTAATTTTTATCCCGGGGTGACGCCCAGCGGTTTCAGAAAACGCGTATTTGATGGCATCATTGATGAATTGTTAGGTTTTTGAGGCCGTTTTTTTTCAGAAAAAAATACAAAAACACAGATTATGTCACGGCGAGCGACACCAACGGATTTTTGAGTAGAGGAGATTGAAGAGGAGCTCTTTAGGCAACTTTCTGCCTATTCAGAAAAAAACCGGCAATCAAACTGATCCGGTGAATTTTAGTAGGGAAACGGACAACCCATGGCAGGAGCTTCACGGGGCCTGCGTAGACGCCAACCCTCCGCCGACTCTCGTGTCTTTGGCCCTTGCTTTGGCCTGCAATGCTCCCTTTTCCTTGGACTCCTCTCGGCCGCCCACAATGCCTCGCTTGCCAACCGTGGAACTTCAAGTTGTCGTGGCCGCGGTCGGAGCTTCCTTTACTTTCCTCTTTGTATTCACCTCGACTCGAACTCTGGTCTGCAAAACTACCGACTAGTCCTCAAATCCCCCACTGCCAGTTCGATGACATTGGACTGTGGGCTGGACTGTGGGCATTAAGCCGTGAATATAATAATAAACAATATCCGGATCATTTTCTTTCGACTTCTGGGAAATATACACCGTGATAACGACCGCAAAACACCATCTGCTACCAGAGCCCTCAATGGACCACTGGCGGCATGACAGGTCAACAGGCCCTCTTTCCCGTGCGATTAAATCTCTGGCTCGTTCTCTTCAATGGCTCCTGGCTGTCCTTCAGAAATTTCGCCTAAACACCATCCAGTTGTTAGGTCGAAGATTTTTTCTGATGCTCTCAGCTGTGTCTCGAGTTGCACGGCGTTCCCCATCAAAACAGGAGTTGCCTGGTCCGTCTCAAAACCCAAAATCGCTTGACTCCGAAGGAATCTCTTTCCCCGACATATCCGCGGGGCGTGGAGCGCTCGCTATCCCCGGCGACGACGGGCGCCTGCAGAAGTCCACCTCAGCTAGCCTTCTTCCCATGTTCCAAGAGAATTCATCCCGCCATTCCGATCCCAGAGCCTCTCGCTCAACCCCGGATTTATTTGCACGGGCTACCACCCGAGAGTCGGACCCTATTTACCGCTGGTCAGACCAGGACCTCCCGGCCACGATCAGCTTCGAATATCCTCCGACTCCTCAGTCAATTCAACCTGCCAACCCGGACCTCGTCGGTCTTTTGCCATCGGCGAACCCTAACGTAGACAATCCTGAGCGTGAAAATGCGGGGATGCCACCTCTTCTCAGCAAATCTTACCCGCATATTTTCCCCGGGACACCTGAGAGCGTGCAGAGGTACGATCGCAAGGCTTCTATGTGAGTGTCATGTTTGTGCTTTGTTTAATTAATTCGATCCCTTGCTTATGCCGCCATGCTAGTCCTGATGAGCCATCCCAATGGACAATACCCCCGCTTTCGATCTCTTTCCTGCCGTGAGACTGACTGCCTCCCTTTGACTCCAGCTCATATCTCACCAGTGTCGCACCCCCACCACCTGGCTGGACCGCCTGCGTGCATCCTGAAGGCGCTCCGTATTTCTTTCACGAGGAGAAGGTTCGTCCCCATGTTCCCATCAGAATGTCATTTTCCCGACTTATCTGTTTAGCGCGTATTTACCGACGCACACCTTTTCGATGACGCCACACTTGAATTCATCAACGCCAGCATGCATCTCATCCACAAGTTTCTCCTCACCCATAATATCCAGTTGCCGCTCGGTGTCGACCTCGTTCTGGAGGAGCACACACGCCCAGACAAAAGCCAGGGATGTCTGTACTACTTCGTGAATCACCCGGACCGCACCGTATTTTGGTTGGATGTGGCCACGTCAGAAATGTTCTCCATCATGGCTGACTTGAATGGAGTATCAACTCCCTCCCATATTCGTATGCAGATCCGCTCTTTTTGTTGGCCAAGGAAATCTAATCCGTACACTTCAGAGCTCGAGCTCGAAGCACAATATTGGTGTGCTACTTTATGCCTCTGCGCTACATGGATGTTCACCATGAACAAGGTACCACTGTGAACTATTTCCAAGGGCGTGGGAGGTTACGCATGAAATACTGGGGGACCTCCGAGACATGGTGTTTTATGCGCTAGGCGGTGTGGCCTGCCATGCCAGATGAAGATCTTCCTCACAATCTTTGCTTTAGATGTCATCACCTCCATGACGTCGACCGTCACCTGGAAGCTCGATGAGCTGGACCGTATTCTACACCTTACTGATAGCCTCGCCAGTGAGTGTCATTCGCGCCTTTATCACTTGTCACTAAGGTGGTTGTAGAGACTATTGGAAACCCCAAATTCAGCAGCTCCAGCTGTCGAAATGTCGGTGCGTACTCTGTCCTAGTTCGCGATCGCTTGAAGATTCATAACATGCACCAGGTCGATTCATGTGGAGGTTCGTCCGTCAACGTGTTCACGACTTCCACGGCCAACTCGGCGCGCGCCTGGACATCGACCAGTGGGTGTACAACACCACCCCAAAGCGGACTATGGTCTTTGAACTATTGAACTTTCTGCTGTTCTCCACGCCAAACTGGAACCTCCTCGGTCTACGTACGCTATACACGCACGGGTTGGCCCCTCCTTCCACGTGGGCAACGTTTATCGCCCAACTCGAAAGTGAATGGCAGGAGTTTACGCTTTACGTGTGTGCATCTCCCCTAGTTAATACATCCGCATACAACTCAATGTTCAAAGGCTACCGTGGTCCTCACGGCCAACGTCGCGTTCCTTGCAATCCAAAGCGTCGACGATGAGCGCGCTCCATATCGCTCCCCTACGCAGATCTTGAGCTATCTCTCGATATTAACGAGCATCGGCGGTATCATCATCCGCATGCTGCTGCTCATCACCCAGCACGGCAATTGGGAATCTAAATGGGGGCCGCATGTGAGTCTGCTTCGTTCCACTGCACACGAGTCCTCCGGTCTCACTCATCGAGCAGACGTTTGCATTTTTAATCCGCCAATACCGGCTCGAAGCACTCGCTATCGCATACGCTTTGCCCTACGGTATGCTCCTCTGGTCGTAAGTCTTCCCATAACCCACTTGGCAACTCGATCAACGCGGATGCAAAACCAGAATGCTTTGGTTCCTCGCCGCATTTTCGTCTCTGTGCTTCGAAAAATCCAGTACCACGACACGAACCGTTGTCGCGGTTTTGTGGGTATCTGTCGCTACGCTTGTCCTGTGGTGCAACTACGGTAACACTCGCGGTTTTCGATGGTTAAATATGAGATTAGCGCGCTGGGCTCGGCGCACCCGCAAGTGATATCCCTTCTCGCGGTCGACTTGTCCATGCGCTCCCTCTCCTCCTGTATTATCAACTGTACCATTAAAACATGTATCACTCCGTTTCCTTCAATGGTCATTCACAGCAAAAGATTATTTCAAGTCCAAACCCATCGATAGAAGAAAACTACAAATGGACAGAGCGTCGTCTCCGCCATCTTTTCCATTTGCAAAACTGCCAAGAGCACAGAGCTGAGTACGCAGGTCGTTCTCCACAAGATTTCACAGATTGTTGCGTCTACCGAATTACATGCAAGGCGTCGAGCCATAATTATTTAAGTAAGGAGTGAAGTATATGCGAGGGCCATTCAGATCTTGGGCGACTCGAGCAAGAGATAAAGAGGGAGAGGACAGGTAAAAGTCACAAGGATCAAGCACCCAAAAAAATCGTACAACATACAACAAGGTTCTTTCTTTCGTCGTCTTCGTCGTCATGTCGCGCAGACGGCGCTGAATCCAAGACATCATCACTAATTCTCCTTCATCTCCTCGTCAATGGTGCCGAAGCCCATCCACGCGCCGGGGGCATGGTAGTATTCGGTGCTCGGGGAGGAGGGGACAGGCGAAGCGGGGCCGGCGGACGGCTTGTAGAATACACCATCTGCGACCGGCAGTGCGGGCAGCTGGATCGCTAAACGGGAGAAGGGCGGCCGGGCAGGGGCGCACAGCGGCAGTGCGGGCAGGGGTGCACTGGGCGGCGGGGGTGTGGGCGCGAAGAGGAGTGCGACGGGACGGCGGTTGGTCAGGGGTTTGCGAGCACGGAGACTGAATAGACGATACGGTGTCAGTAAGACGTCAAGGCAGGGTGAGGTGAGACGACGTACCGAGCCCCGACGCTTCCGCTGCGCATGCGGCCGAGCATGCTGGTGCCCTCGCTGGCGACGTTGAGGCTGCCGCTGCGGGATCTGCTGGGCGAGGAGGCCATGTGGGCCATGTGCCACGCATTGCCTGCTGCTCGAGCGGGCGACCTGAGCTTCAAGGCGCTGACTGGGGACGCGGCAGAGGTGAGGCTGGAGCGGCGCTTCCGCGTGGGCGAGCGGGGGCCCTGGGCGACGCGGTTGTTGATATTAGAGGAGGTGATGTGATAGGGCGCGGCTGCGGCGAAGTATGCGAGGTCGGCTGTCGCTGAATGGGAGGGATTCTCGTGGTCCATGTCGTCGTCGCGGGGGTGGCTGTATGTGTACACGGAGGAAGCATGGCCGTGCAGCCCCGACTTGTAGAAGACGCTGTAGCTCGAAGACATCGTGTGGACGTGAGGATGAAGATATAAAAGGGCCTTAAAAGAGAAGAGGCTTGAACGACGTGGAGAGGGAGGAAGAAAAGTCGAGGGGGGAGGAGGAGATGGTGGTCGTTTGAAGCAAGGGCCTTTTCAACCTCGATCACTCGCGTACACAAGTGAATACAACCTATAATTAACTGCCTTTGTTCTTCGCCAAAACCGCAATCTGGCTTGCTACGCTTC